TGTAACAGATCGGCCAGGCTCTGCCACCACCCAATCACAACGACCCCTCTCACCTGAGTTCTAAGCACCCGCACCTGTCACCAATCAAGCACCTCATTACCAGCCTGTATAAAAGCACACACCTCAGACACCCTCACTGTCCGGTCTCGTTCATACGTAGAGGACTCACTGACTTTGCTACTGATTACCTTTGAATACTTTACTTACCTCCTGTGTTCCTCCTAGTGTCTTCCCGTCTCCAAGTGTCTCCTGCATCTCCTAGTTCCCGGATCGCTGAGGTGTGTGCTTCCCCCAGATACCTTCCAGCCTCACTCAAGCCAAAGACTCTGATCACTCCACTCTCCATATCCTCTGCACTCTCTCACGGACCTTTCCCTCACCCTCACTTCCTCCGGACTACACCAGTACTCACTGTGACCAACAATAAACACTTGTATATAAACTAACCTGTTGTGTCAAGCCTCTTCCGTAACAGAAGACCGGACCAACACTGACGGCACAGATGAGTCACCCCGATCCTTTCCAGGAGCTCGTAGACTCGCTACGGTGAGTGCTACGAAATCCACCAGCACCGCCGCCATCAATGGAATTCTCCTCCAGTGGCCTCCAACACCGCTCCTAACAATCCGCCGGGCTGTCCTCCAGGATGTCAATATGTACCACGGACACAGCGCACCCCACTCATTCAATCCGCTCACTCCTCCCGAGGCACTGGTCATCCAGGGGCCAACAACACCCTCTCGCTGCTACGGATCTACCCCCCTCTGAAGGTAACACATGCATCCTGGTGGTTGTTGACCACTTCTCGAAGTCATGTCGCCTTCTGCCCCCAGAGGTCTCCCCACGGTTGCGTGCACTCTGTAGGGATGTTTTGAATGGTTTTTGCAAAATACTCGATAATGTCAAATCGCACATCGTTAAAGCAACAATTACGATATTATCGCAGACGATATATATATCGCACACCCCTAATATCAATACATAAATTTTTTTGGTTTTAATATTTGTATTGAATGGTAACCATTTTATATAAGCAATAAAGTACTCGAGGTATGCTGTATTCATACTCCATTTTTTTCACGTTTTATGCTGCCGCCTTATATTAAACCGTTTTAAATTACAGTTTTAAATTACTTTTTAAGTTTCTCCTATCTCCATACATGATCATGGAGCTCCACTAGAGTGACCATCAGCTTCTTGGTCACCACTCTAACCAAGGCCCTTCCCCATCAATTGCTTAGTTTGGCCAAGAGGCCAGCTCTAGGAAGAAGCCAATCTGCCATAACGGCAGGTTGTGGAATGTGCCACTTTATGACCCAATAGTGTGGCTAAACACCACCTCCACAGAAGAGGATCAATGCCTGCTTCTACATCACTGCCTGTTTAGAACCCCAAGTAAAGTGTGGAACTTTATTTTTAATGAAATTCCAGACTATGTCAGTAAGAACTTGGTCCTTTGTTCTCTTAATTTTTTTTTTTTTACAGCGGATTCGTTTAAAAACAAGGCTCAATTCAATGCAGGATTTTCAGAAAGATTGACTATATTGGATCCGACAATGATGTCACACCACACCTGTGAGTATCTGTTTTACGTGGTCACTATTGCTTTGTCTGTTATTAGATATTTATATTTGTTATTTGATATGTACTGAGTATTTATGCGTTTTTAACTTTAATCACAGCAGCGTCCATCTATGAAGGATGTCAAACATTCACAACTTTTAGCCAATCATACCAGTGGGTATTTACTTCCGAGACTACAATCCGCCACGCCTGTTCAAACAGAGCATTCCGGTGAGGGGGCTCAAAACAGGACAGAAAATAGCTTGTTACGTCTAAATTATGAAGATTTTGGTGTAAAAATCTTGATAACATTATAAGTGTACCTCAGAGAACAGTAAAA